ATAACAGACCAAAATATGAAAGTACAGTCAGTGACAGCCAGCCTGCTGAGAACGGACGAATCATTCCAGACCGGTCCACAAAGCCACTACGTGATGCAAAGAACATTCTGACAGAAGAAGAAAAAAGTCGCGTACATGCAGAAACTGCTGCCCTGTTAGAGAAGAACAAACGGGAAAAAGAATTGCGGGAGAGGCAACAAGAAGAGCAGAAAGAAAAACTTAAGCGAGAAAAAGAAGAACAAGAACAGAAAGCAAAGGAAGAAAAGAAAGAAAAGGAATACAAAGAAAAGCTGCAACAAGCCAAAGAGGATAGAGAACTGAAGGAGAGGGAAGAGCAGATAAAAAGGGAGCAGGAGGAAAAAGAACAAGAGAGAGCGCACAAAGAAGTAATAGAAGCAAAACAGCAAAATAAAAATGAACCAGAAAGTACGGATGCAAAAAGTATCGAGATTGACAAAATATCTATGGAAGAAAGAGAAAAGGGGACCAGAACACCAGAAATGCAGAGATGTGCATTAGGAGATACGGCCTTTGTGACCGTCTCAGGCAAGGTTAGTAAGAAAAGAGCAAATCATCTCCAAGCTTGGAGTAATTATTCAGTATGATTTGTGAGTGCATCTTGAAGTGAGATAGTATCAATCTGGAAGTTTTAAATATATTTAAATGTCATGTAGGCCTACCATTTTTACACAAATATAGAGGAGAAAGTTAGAACCAAGACACAAAAGGTTAGATTTTTACAGACAACTTGGAATCTGACGGTGGGTGGGCAGCATGGGATTCCCATAGGATAAAAAAATTTCCCACAGATGTGGAAATAGAAGGGATGGCCCACAGGCCGCTATTCTCCGTTTCAACTCTAGAGACATGGTAATATTCAATCTCCTATGCCAGCCCCATAATACATACTCCATTATTGTAACACATGCTAGGGAAAGACCGAATCATATTATCGTAATAAATGCCCTACTACATAAACACGGGTGAAAAATTTGCAAACTGCTATTAGTGTGAAATACTCATCTGATTGTGGAAAAAGGGCCATTTGTGAAGAACAGATGTCTTAAACACTTTTCAAAAATGTGTTAGGTTATTTTTCTTTTCTTGCAGTTGCTATTTCACACAACTCTGTTGATACTAATGTAATACTAATACACAAGGAAGCCAAAGTAAAGGTTCCTGGGAAATCCTAACACAGTCATTCCTAAGCTTTTTTTTGACTGATAGAGCAACTTCACATATTCCTGTCCCTGATAAATAAAATCATAATGTTGGCTTTACAGTGTGCCTTGTTCATGGATGATCTTTGGCACAGTGACAAGTGCAAGGGGGAAAAAAAATCTTATATTTAACAACAAATTGTAAAATTCACAGTTTTTATTAGGGAGAGCGTTGTGAGTGGAACTTTATTTAGGAGCTCTTGAAACTATCCAACTGCCCAACTGTGCTATGTAACACAACGTTCGGCTATAAAGGCTATTCCAAAGAATTGTTATATGAGCTAGGAAAAATAAAAATGATCAGTTTATTTGTAGATACCTGCTCTAACCACTTGTTGGTGGCACTTGTATTTAACAGCAGCAAAAAAAAAAAAAAAAAACTCTGCTTTTTCCCAATTCTGCTTTATCGGCCCTCTTTACTGACATTCCACATGAAAATTGAAAGCCTTCTCTCAAAATCTTTTACAGCAAACGGGGGTTAAAGGACAACCAGACAGTGGAACTCAAAAGCCAGGAGCCCTTAGAGAGGATTCTGAACAAGATACTGAAAGACTTAAAGTAAATACAATGTGTTATATGTAGCCAAAAACAATCAAGAGCAGATGCTTTATGATTATTATTTCATATCCTGTTAAATTCCACCTCATTTTAATTGTTAAAGTCTTCTCCTTAAGAAAAGATGAGCCATATTCTACAGCTGTATTTGCTTTTTCCATTTGCCATTCATCTTCAACAAATGTATTTGAAACTTTCACTGGAAATCATTATATGTTTCTGATGGTATTAACAAATATTCCACGCATGTTCATCATCTCATGCATACCCCTTTGCATCCCATTTTGGAAAGGAGAGAAGGTCATCCTTATAGCTTAACAGAAGCATGTATTCCTAATAAAGTGGCTTCCTTAGGGAAGGAATTAACTATTCAGATTTTTGCAAGATGAATTGCCCTTTTTTGTAACCCCTCTGGAGCACGTCAACAAATTGATTTTGTATAGATTGAGTAATTTAAGAAAAAAGTGGTACTTAATTACCATATTTCTGTCCTAAAGTAAGTCACATCTCTAGCTATAATCAAGGATTTTTTATTGAACTGTTTTGTATAAAATCATTTACCTACATAAGAGAAGTCATATACAGATTGTTGTCCTGCATAACTAGCTGTACGTACCTTACATTTCTATTGTATTTATTAGTCTCAGCGGGAGCCGTTAATGAGAGCACGAAGTGAGGAAATGGGAAGGATAATACCAGGACTGCCTGCAGGTTGGGCAAAGGTAACTTTCTGTTCTGAAATTATAATCCAGTTACTTTGTGCAGTTTTGTAGTGAATTACAGTTGCATCATATTTCTAAGTTAGATCTTGTTTGATTTATTCTCTTAAACTTTCCCAGTTATTTTCTGAATCTTAATTTTTAATGAAGCAAGTGGAGCTCATCTGCAGCTTCTGGTACTGAGCAGTTGCTGTTTGTTTATTTTGGTGCAAGTGGTACCTGCCAATAAATTTAATCCACCAACTGTTGAGTTAATCAGTACTGTAACATCTCAGTGTTTGAAAAATTCAGGCACTGTTCATAGAGTAGCCCAAATGTAGGCAGTCAAGTTAATGATGGATTTTTACCTGGCTTTGAAACCATTTGTTTTTCTTTCCCAAGTTTCTGGATCCAATCACTGGAACCTTTCGTTATTATCACTCGCCAACAAATACTGTTCATATGTATCCACCAGAAATGGCTCCTTCATCCACTCCTCCATCTACCCCACCAACCCATAAACCCAAGCCACAGGTGACTGCTGAACGAGAAAGAGAACACTCCAAACTGAAGCGCTCCTACTCTTCCCCAGATATAACCCAAGCCATTCAGGAGGAGGAGAAGAAAAGAATTCCTGTAACCCCTGCAGTCAATCGTGAAAATAAGTAGGTCTGATAAGTTACAGCATCACAATTCATACAATATGATAGCATATAGGACTTTCTTTGTCTTTATTCAACTAAATCCATTAATATTTTCTAAGTACTTTACGAAGGCATGCAAGAGTTTCTCTGACAGACTTCAATGTTATCACGGCAAGTTCAAAGTATAGGGCACGTTTGAGAACTCTTGCAATTATCATCCGATAACCTGGCTTTTTGGAGGTCACAGTGTTAACTGATCGATAGTTGCTTTTTGTGTGGTGGTATTTGTGTCAAGGCTTCTGACATCTTTTGAAATGCAGAGTTTCAGTTTTTAAACTGATTAGTTAAATCAACCAAGAGTTATTTTTTTCATCCATGAATTAAAAAAAATACATATACATACATACATACATACATACATACATACACATACATATATATATATATACATACATACATATATATATATACACACACACACACACACACACACACACACACATACTGATTTAGTGTAGAACTCAGCCTTCTTACAGGTCAGTGTGTATGGATTTCTCATTATTGCATTGACTAGTCTTGAATACCTTAAATGATGGCATTTGGTGACCTCCTGTGACAGGGTATTTCATTTCTTGTGAGGGAGGATTGTTCTGTTAAGTTATGTGCATAGTCTTACTTTTCTGTGTCCGTTGAGGCTGCAGAACTAGACAGAGTGGGAACAGGGATTTCTTTAGAGCCAGCTGATACTGCTTGGCTGGAGAAGTCTGTTAAATGACATAAGGCATGCTGTTTAACTCCAAGGTCTGAAGTGTGCTGCCTTCTCAGAGCTTCAAAATGATCTATGAGAAGACAGCTGGGTCACTGCATGACAGAATGGAGCTCTACAGTGTGCCTTGTACAGTGTCAAGCCTGAGACTGGCTTAAAAAAAATAATTTCTTCCTTACAGACCAATCTGTTACACTAAAGCTGAAATTTCAAGACTCTCTGCATCACAAATTCGGAATCTCAATCCTGTGTTTGGGGGATCAGGACCAGCTCTCACAGGACTTCGAAATCTAGGGAACACTTGCTATATGAATTCCATATTACAGTGTCTGTGCAATGCACCACATCTGGCTGACTATTTTAACAGAAATTTGTATCAAGATGATATTAACAGGTAACGCTCTATTTTTCTCCTCCTTTAATTGACGATTGAAGGAAGAATGTCTTTACGATTGTTAATTTAAAAAAAAAATCAAATCTGTAATGAGGTTAAGGTTTTAAGAAAGAAAACACTAACTTCAAATCTTTGAGAGCTTTTTCAAGTTCACTTGGGGGACGAAATGGGCTTTACTAGATAATCTTATTTACATTATGCTCACCGCATTGATAAATAGCTGTGCTAGAGTCTCCTGACTCAAACAAAATGTTTGAGAAGCAGTTTACAAAACAAGCAGAAAATATTTGTACCTTTCACCAATCCAATTTTGAATATGGAACTAACACATAGTATGTAAAGTACATAGTGGCAAAGTAGACAAAAATTTTAGTTCGATCCTACAAGCAGTTATTCTTGGTTTAAAGAAATTACTTTAAAACTGGGATAAAGTCTTGTATTAATAATAATAAAGTCTTATTTGAATGGCTGTGTTTTATGTCTGTTTAATTGTACAGGTCAAACTTCCTGGGGCATAAAGGTGAAGTGGCTGAAGAGTTTGGTGTAATAATGAAAGCTTTGTGGACAGGACAGTATAAATATATCAGTCCAAAAGATTTTAAAATTACAATTGGGAAGATTAATGACCAGTTTGCAGGATATAGCCAGCAGGACTCTCAAGAATTGCTTCTCTTTCTAATGGATGGCTTGCATGAAGACCTAAATAAAGTAAGTAGTACACTTTTAATTAATTATACATCTGTCAAATGATCAAGAGAAAAGTTTAAAACCTCTTACTTTAATTAAGTAAGGAATTAAAAGAAAAAGTTTTGTGCTAAGGCAGAAATATTTAAAAAAAAATTTTTTTTTTTTTTTAAGCAGCTTCTGAGTATGCTTGAACAAGCATTTCTGCTGGTTTTACCTTCTCCATTGCTGTTTGGAGACAAAGTCCCATTTCCTTACTTCCCTCTGTCTGGCAGGTCCCGGAGCTGCTAAAATGGCTTGCTTTTCCTATATTTATGTAGAGTTGGAGGTCCTGAGGTCTACTCAGTTTTGCATCAGCTGCCAGGAGTCCCTTGTAGAGGCTAACTTTTGTAGCTGTTTCAGGCCAAGTGGTTGAAGAGGCTGAGCCCAAAGATGCTGTGGTTTACAGAATACAGGGAAAATAAGACAAAGATTAGGTGGCAATTTACTTTCGGTTTTCTGAGCTGTGGTGGGAAAACCCTTTTCTCTGACATCTCTATGTTTTTGGGGTACTGATACCCCCCGGAGTCTTCATCTGTCAGGCTCCTTGAATGATTGAACCATATATGCCTTGTATCTAGAGAACACGTAATCTAAACTAAAGGTTTTCAGCCTGGAGAGTACTGGCCATTGAATCCTGTAGAAATCTTCTCGGGAGTCTGCTAAAGGTAGGAGAAGCTTGCTAGGAGAAGCAAGTTTTGTGTTGTAGCCTTAAAACTGTGATAAGCACCTGCAAATAGAAAAAGGTTTAAAACAACCAGTCTAGGTCATTATGCATTAGCGAAAAGACTTCTTTAGGCTGAACTTTTTCCTATCAAGTTGAATGTATAATAAAACTAGCAGTATCAGGTCTTTTCAGTTATTTGCTGCTCGGTTGTTTTCTGCTCTTATTTTTATGATGCCTCTGATGGCCCGTTAGCTTAAGTAAATTGTAGGATGTATGCTGTTGTGCATCATGTGACGCTTACCCATTTTCTGCTTTGTGATCACGACAGTCATTCATTAGCTTAATGCTTTCAGTCCACAAATCTAGGTTACTCTATGTAGATACGTATCTAGTTTTTCAGAAAGTAGAGCTATTTTCAGGTAGTAGTAACTTTTGGGGAAGTGATCTGTCATTCCCTCGTCAGTTCCATCACTACTGAAAGCTAGTGGGTGGCGGCAAAGTATGAGACTGGTATGAGTCTTTGAGGGCAAGGTATGTAGTTCTAACATGTATCAAAAACAAAGTACTGGTATGGCACATGACTTTTGCAAGAAACCAGTATCAATGTCTCAAAATAGAAGTTTTTCACAATTTAAATTAACTTATAGTGGATACGTATTGCTGTTTGTGTTACTGGAGCCTTGCGTGGAAGTAGAATGAAATGCAAGTATTCAGAATTAATGCAGAAATTAGTTCTGTAACAGTAAAAGGTACTGAGGAGAATAATGGAAGAAACATAACTAGATAAGAAATAGATGGCTACACTGATGTGTTTAAATAATCTTGGAAATGCTCAATAGTATGTTTGCCTCTAGCTGAAACTTTCTATTTTTTACATATGTTAACATATGATTGAGGTATTTAAATTTCTGTTAACCAGGCTGACAATAGGAAGAGATACAAGGAAGAAAACAATGATCATCTTGATGACTTCAGAGCAGCAGAACAAGCTTGGCACAAACACAAACAGCTCAACGAATCCATTATTGTGGCACTCTTTCAAGGCCAGTTCAAATCTACAGTGCAGTGTCTTACATGTCACAAGAAGTCCCGGACCTTTGAGGCTTTCATGTATTTGTCCTTACCACTTGCATCCACTAGTAAATGTACGCTGCAGGTAAGGTGGCACAAGAAAGAAACAGTTTTCACAGTAAAAACACTTCTTTTCATGATTTTGTTAGGATGCTGCTTCTGCTCAACCTCTTGTTGAAGGGGTTTGTCAATATTTGCAGCTTAATTTATACTAACCTGAAACATGAGCATGAGTTTTCCTTACTTTTTAATTTCTCCTAAAGTTTAAAAAAAAGACATTTCTTAAAAGTTTTAAAATACAAGCAAGATGGAAATATTTAAGTCTCAGTGGCAGAAAAGACTGTATAGTGTTTGTCTTTGTAGGTCATAGTATAAATTTTTTGTTTTGTTTGTTTTTTTGTATGTTTTTTAAACAAAACGTTGATATGTTTTGAAAGACTTGCAGCTAATTAATGCATGCAGTAAATTGTACTTCTGCACATGGACTGAACTCAGCTTTCCTCATCTTTGTAAAACCTGGCATGCAGATAACTGATACAAGTTAAAAGCCCAATAGGAAACAAACATTTGTGCTGTGCTTTCTTAAACACCTGCCTTTCACAATCTGTATTTCCTGTTCTGTTTTAGGAATGCCTTAGATTGTTCTCCAAAGAGGAGAAGCTCACTGATAACAATAGATTTTACTGTAGCCATTGCAAAACCCGAAGGGATTCTTTGAAAAAAATAGAAATTTGGAAACTACCACCCGTTCTTCTTGTGCACTTGAAAAGGTATGGCATTGAGTGGTGACAAAGTAACTAGAATGAAGTGACTAGGCTTTCATGGAGATTGCTCATTCTAATGCAGTAGCTAACCATTTTTAATTGAATTTCTAGATTGTGTTTCCAGCTGTAATGCTGCAAGAATTTTATTTTTCATCTGATGCCTGTTTTACTAGGCTGTAATTCACAGAACACTTCTACAAGTAGCCTCTTTAAATTTTCTGTGTTAAGACACATACATGTGCAAGTATTAACAGAATTGGGGGCCAAATGTTCTCTGTGAAACTGTGTTTAGTCTCTGGTTGAGATTATGTCTAGGTTAAAAACAGAGAGAATGAACGTGGCTTAAGATTCTTTGATAGCTTGTGAACAACCTGTAACTTATAATAATGCTTTTTAATTCTCTAGATTTTCCTATGATGGAAGATGGAAGCAAAAGCTTCAAACCTCTGTAGATTTCCCATTGGAAACTCTTGACCTGGCACAGTATGTTATTGGTCCCAAGAATAGCTTGAAGAGATACAATCTGTTTTCAGTATCAGTAAGTAACCCTCTCACACTTCAAAATTTACGTGGTCTTTATGTCAGTCTGTGTGATCATCTGGGTTTCAAGGCCACCTACCTGATTGCAGGTGAAATTGTAGTCTAAAGAGATTGGTATTTTGTCAGAAATCTCACATTCCGGGTTCTTATCCTAACTAGGGAACAAATGGCAGCTTTCAAGGCCATCAGTTCTTTTCTTCTTATGTTTTACAGAATCATTATGGCGGGTTGGATGGAGGGCACTATACAGCCTACTGCAAAAACGCTGCAAAACAACGCTGGTTTAAGTTTGATGACCATGAAGTATCTGAGATCTCGGCATCATCTGTGAAATCCTCAGCTGCATATATTCTCTTCTACACTTCTTATGAACAGCGAGTAGTGGATGTAGCCACATAAAATAGTGTGGGTTAAGAAAACTGATTTTCTTTATAAAAGAGCAAAATAGCTATGGGAATGCATATAAATATGCAAAATTGTGACAAACATATAGTCACTTAAAGAACATGGGGATGGTTGCAGCAGCTTCTTTGCAGCAAGTTCATTCTGGTCAGTACTATTGCTTAAATCAGAAGACTGATAAATAATGCTTGTGGTCATACCGCCATCTGTGAAACCATTTAAAAAAAGCATACTTGCATTACCATTTATTTAAGAACAGTTATATTTTTAGCCTGCTCCAAAACTAAATTCTAACCTAGTCATTTGAAATCTATTAATAAGTAGTTTAAAATGTCTTAAAATGCCAAGGCATATCTTGATTTTGTTTTTTTTTCTTTCACTGTTATGGCCTTTTCACATTTCTAACCTTAAGCTTGATTCTACTGTGAATACTCTAGAACGATGTAAACAGTTAGGAATGTAAGTGTACATATTGATTGCATACTTGCACATCAGAACTATGTATATAATAAAATGTCGTCCTTTTTGTGAGAATCTCTAAAACTCAGAGGATTGCTTTTATTTGCCAGCTCTAAGTAATTGCAACACTACTTAATTAAAAAGGAGAGCTGTATTTTTCTGTTAGCTTTTGTCAATATTTGTGCACTTCAGCATTATGCTAAACAAACAAGATTTTCCTTTTTAATTTTTTAATATAAAATTTTATGTACACATGCATTAAAAACCTTAATGAAGAAACAATATAAAAATATAATATCCTCTTAAATGTACATTTATGTTTGTTTGCATTCTCTGCTATTTGTGTAGTGGTCAGGATTCTACATCATGACAGACTCTAACTTAACGTTCACAAAGTTCAGAGGTTCTTCAGGTGACAAAAAAGTACTTAGTATCTAAACTAACCCACTTTTAGACAAATATTTTAGTTGTATTTCACACATTTCTCTGATCTAGATTTGGGTTGGTTTTGCCTTCCTTGATTAGGATGGCTTTCATAAATCTTAAATCCTAGTCTGAGGTTTTTTAATCTATCTACACACAAGTCTTGCTGATGGAATTAAGAGCAGGTTTGATTGTTTTCCAGGAACTTAAAACCCAGGAATGAGTTAGAGGTGCTAGAGGGACAAAAATGACAGTAGCGTAATGGCATCTTTTTTCTCTCTTTACTTTAGTGATCACTTCATCCCCTACTGTTTTGTTAAACAAATGCCCCAGTGATCCAGCCATGTGCTGTCTTTCACTTTAGTGGCCTCCTGTCAGTTTCTGAAAGGGAGCTTAAAACAACACAATTTAAATACCTGAAAAAAAGCCCGGTTTTTCTGTTATCAAGTGCTTTTGTGTACTCAATATTTATCTTATTTTTGCGGGATGTATGAATTTTGTCATGGAAAAGATAAGTGCTAGACTATAGGCAAATGGAGCTGATGTATATTCCTTAATGGGCTTGGAAGCTGTAGCTCCAGAGTTCTCTCTAGAAGTTACTTCCTAAAAGACCACAACAGATTATCCAGTAATGCAGTAATAAACTGTAGTTTATTGATTAAACAGGACTGAGTTAACAGCGTTGCCAATGAACTCAGATCACTAGCTTACTCACTGTTAGTCTTTCACTGCTAGTGGCTTTTGGTGGGTGCAGAGAAGGCTTGACAGGTGTAGAACAGAAGATAAGCTGCAGCAGTCTGCACAGAGGAGTTTGGGATCGCGGTGATCTGTGAATCATCAAAGCTGTACCAGCTCTTGGTGACTGAGTGCTTGCAGAACGCCGTGTAGTGGCCACCATCCAGAAATCCAAAGTGATTCTGTAACAAACAATACGGTTCATTAAAACAGAGGGCCCTCCCGCTCCTTAGGGCCAAAGCTAGGAGTTAGCAATCAGTTTGCACTTGGGAGCGGTGGGAGAGAAGATTCTAGCTCCCTTTGGCCTACGAGGAGGATTAGTAATTCAAATAAACACTTTAAAACAGAGCAAACAGACACTTCATAGGTGATGCTTATGCTTTTCTGGTTTGCCATATGTATTAAATTTGCAACCCGGCTAATAGTCCTGATATGGATCACTGTAAGCAGGCCATACTTGCAGTGAGTGATGGAAGAAGAGACTGGTTGTTCCTGATTTACAGATGAGGATCCGTGCAGGATCAGCTTGAGTTTACACTTGAAAAACTGAGGAGCCTGCAACTACTTATTATTTGTTAGGAGTGCACACTTTCTAAAGCTGGGATGTGATGGGGAAGGGAGAGAGGTGGGTGCTAATGTTTCTCTTCTTTGGTTACACGTTATATTCTTAGAACATAAGGACTTGCATGTATGAAAAATTTGCAACCCTAGGGAATGTGTGTGTTAGGAGCATATGTACACGTTTAATATTACTTATGAATATGCTGAATTAGAATTCTAAAACTAACTTTTTTATAGCCATGTCATTGGTGGATTATTACTCGAGCAAAGAGGGCCCATCCTCTCACACAGAGTCTAACTGCGACTATAAAAAGCGGGTGACCAAATGCAGTATTTTCGTTAGGGTACGTACCACCTTCTCACTAATGAAAAATGTGTTAGTTTTTAATGACCGACTTTTTTTTATTTAGGAAGCGCTTCTGCTCAGCAGACACACTTGGATATGGAGCCAAAGTAGGGGGTTTTTTTTGGTTTTTTTCCCCTTCTTCTTTAAAAGAAGAATTTAAAGCCTCTGAATTTTTAAGTGCCTGGAACAGAGACGACTATTGCTCTGACCAAGTCCAAACTAACCCAGGCTTCATCTGCTGCATCAGGTAGAGTACTACAACTAAAAACAGGAAAGGTAAAGCTCACCACTACAGCACACAAGCTGTACTTTGAGTTCCTGCGGAAGGATGGGTAACTGTAAGGCGAGAGGTCCAAGTTGCTGAGTGGATAGCAAATGTCAGTTAAAAGTTTCTTTTTGTAGTTGCCTTGACAGTCAAACCTGAAATAAAAAAAAAATTGAACTATTTTAAGTGACAGTCATCTTCAGTCTTGTATTCTTGGAGTTTCTTTAATGACCTCCCTTGTAAAAGGAAAGGATTAAACCTCTCATGACTCTCCAGCGTTTTCAAGCAGATAGACCTGTGTCACTGTAAGTATTATTGTAAACTGACAGAAAATACACTAAACCTACAAGAGAGATGCCCAGCCAAAAAAAAAAAAAAAGCAAAGATTTTTGCTTCCTAACACTTTTGTTTATTAGAAATGGACATGGGTGCCAAGAGCAGATAGAAGTCAAAGCTCTGCATCAGTGTCACTGTGTCCTAATAGTTTTGGACTGCACCATCATTGTCAACTATTTTTTCTTGTCAAGTGCTACTTCTCTTTACTCTGTAGCATTTATTTACAATGCTGTACTTTTTATCTTTTATAGTGTGGCCAAGGGCTACAGCTTGGGGCAGGGGAGAGGGAGGCCAGGGCACAAGTTCATTTCAGCATGTCAAGGAAAGCATACACTAAAAGGGAAATTAAATACTGTTTATATAACATATGTCTATGTTAAATAGACATATGTTTAGGGAGCCCACCCATACCCAGAGTAAATTTTGTTTTTATAAGTGAGAAGTTGATAAGAAAGAAGAGATTCTTCAGAATAAGTTTAGCATAACTGACTATGAGCGGGTAGTGACGTACGCTAAGTTGGAGTTCTTAGGCTCTGCAGCTTTGTATGTTAGACCTGATTTGGTTAAGGGATAAACAAAAATGCAATCTTAGCTGCATTAGTGACAAGCAAAACCCCCCCGTTTTAGTTTTACACTCAGAACATAGTCACAAACTGTCCAAATCGCTACAGGAACTATAGTCACATTCCTAACCATAGGAATGCTGTACTGTTATGTAGTCAATCACCCCTCTGTGGAGTTTTTCTTCTCTTTGGAGGGAAAAGAGATAGCAAATGCAGTGAGAGAGAAATTCAGTGGGTTGTAGCATAGACTAAGGTAAAACACATTTTCTGAGATTTCAGGAATGCAACTTGCATGTATGAGAGGTATATTTTTGTAGCTACCTGTTCTGTTTCCGGGTTTCAAAAGTACTAAAAAGACCCAGTTGTAGTGATTTTTATCCAAATAAAAATGACTGTCCTTCCTGTCTCACAAATCCCTAGCACATGTAGACGGTACCTCTTTAAGTGAAAAATAATTATCTTTGGTGCCTTGGTTATGTTGGCCTTTACTGCAGCATCTTGTTTTGTCCCACACCAAGAACAATGGATTTGGTTGTTCCAAGTCAGTGTGTCTTGCTGAAAGAAGCATCTGAGACAGTCCTGTCAAAAAGTAATAATAATTAATAAATTTTTAAAAAGCATATCATGTGATCAAACAGATCTCCACCCCGGAGACCCTAAGCAAGGTCAGGGATGGGTTTGCCTTCTAGAGCTCCCTTCGCTGCCCATTGCTTCTGCAAATTGAAGCGTGACGCAGCGAGGCTGACATCAGAAATATACTCGGAACACAAAGCAGCCAACATTGGCTTCTTTTTTTTTTCCCTGCAGTTAATGAAACATTTTAGTAAGTGAAAGAACCCTCACAGCTGCTATTGAGCAATTCTTCTGACGTCCTTCGTCACGTGGCAGCTCAGGAGCAATCCTGCCACGCTGTTAGCAGCCTCCATGGGCCAGAGACTAGTTTAGAAACCCCGTCTCATCGTAGGACCTGATCCTAATCTCAAGAATATCCTTTAGGTCCCAGGGTACTAAAGCACCTAAAAAAAACCCTGCATCTTTTTAATGACATGTATTAGCCTAAGCCTCCTATTCCCACGTGAAGCAGAGTCCAACAATTTGGGGATGTATTAGAAGCCCTACCTGCAGAGAGCACGCACTCTCAGAGGGGATGGGGAGAGAAAGAACCGTGAAGATCTCAGGTTTGTCAGTAGTGGTCTCGCATTCCAGGCATGTAATATCATAACTGAGTTGTCCCTCAAATAACTGTGTGATAATAGACGTTTCACTGGCAATCACTCTGTTTTCTCTTGCACCAGTTGCGCTTCCTTGGCATCTTCTGCTGCTTGACTAGGCAGGGGAGGAAAAAAAGAAAAACTAACAACAACAGCAAAGTGTAGGTAACCAGCTGTTTCACAAGGGCCTTCACAGGGTTTTAATGGTCACAGGATAAAGTATTTCGTGTCTTGACAATCAAACCTACAAAAGAAACTGAGAATGAATGACAGCTACTACATGCCAGGACTCAACATTTTCTCCATAGACTTAACAATTCTTCGAGAAGAGTCTGTGGGCAGTAGGACTGTTTTTAAATAGTCTCTTATATCTATAATATTCCACGCTCCATATTACTAAGACCTTAACTGAATAAAACATGGTTCATGAATGCAAGCTCCCACTCTTGTGATGCAAGGGAGGGGCTAGGCTCTTGCAACTTGACAGTTGATCGTTACATCTGTGAACTCTTTGTATAAAGTCCCCGTGTTTTCATAGGTTTCAGCAATAGTTACAAGTACCGTCCAGAGCTGTGGTTTGGTTTTTAAAGAACTAGATAAAGGGTCAAGATAAAAGGGCAAGTAAGCCTAACCAGTATTTGAACTGTTTTATTCCCAGTGCTATTTATCAGCATCTTCTTCCAGCCAACTATTAGCTTGGTGGCCTTGATCACAGCCGGACATACACCATGCTTAGGTTACCCAGAAGAGCTCCCCTGTCATCCTAGCAGCTTCTCGCATGTAACATCAAACACGAATCTGTCTTTGAAGGGTGAGCTCTGACTTGTGCAGCTCTTCTTAGCTGTGCATTTCCCCCCCTCCCCCAGATTCTTCATTATCCTCACCTACTGATATCCTCATCCCCGGGCAGATGCACTTCTCTGTTGCAGGAATCACCCTTCACTACTTTTACAACAAATTCGCCATGGCAGTGCCTTGGTGGTCTCTCTCTCCTCCCAGCCCCTTCCCTCAGCAGCCCCAAACCAGGGATCCACCATGACATGATTTTTTTCTTGCGCAGTTTACCATGTCTTCTTCTAATGTAATTCCAAAAAGGAGTTTTGAGAAACTACTAACTTCTGTGAAAGAGCATGACGGGTTTACAGCAGACGGGCTGCCCACTGGCTCTGTAGCCTAGTATTTAATATTGTCACAGAATTTGACTCCAGAATGGTTTGTCTTTAGTTCGCATACAGGCAGAGCAAGATAAACCCCTTTTCTCAGAGAAATGGAACAAAAACGTAATGTTATGGACAAGCAGGAGGAAGACATGTAATTGCTAGCAAAGCTGTTTATCAGAGGATGTGGAAGAAGAAAAAAGAAAGATAGACGTGGGGTTTGGCAGACATGAAGATTTTAGGCAGATGAAAGAGAAACAGAGGAAAGAATATAAAGCACAGGAAGAGCAAAGAGCAAAAGAAAACCTAAGAAAGAGGTGAGGAAGAGGAACTACAGACAGCCTGAGCATGTAGATGAGGGGCTGCAATCTGATGTGGCCTGGGACGGGAAGCTCTCGAAGGAAGGACTGCGTGCTTGTGGCTGCGGACCAAAGGAAGAAAATGACAGTTTTAGCGGCCACATCACGTGCAGTTTGGAGGAGGACAATAGAGGATTACTGCATGACGTGCTAAGGTGGAAACAACAAAAGGCGAAGAGGAAACAGAGCGACAGCCCCAGAGGTCACAGCTGTGCTCTTACCTTCTTGAGAGCCTCATGGAGCTCGTTCAGCACGCAGATCAGAAACTCCTGCGCATCCTGCTGAGTCCGCTTGGTAAACGCTGGGTACCGCTCCCCAAGGACCGAACGAAAAACCTCCGGGGAAACGCAGTCAAACTCTCCAAGCCACATGTCAGACATCAGATAGCCAAAGGCAGTCGCAGACTCGCCATTCTCCCTTGAGAAAAATAAGCAAAAGTTTCAGGTAAAGTATGAAAATGTGGTGGCTCTCCTTCCAAACAGGAGCATAATAGATAAACTTAGACAATATATACGGGTACAGTACAACTCTGACGGCCTCTGTCATTTGGTTCGGGGGGGTCTTTACAGATACTATGAAGCAATGGGAATCATCAGCGAGACAGCAACAACAGGTTAAAAAAAAAAAAAAAAAGTAGTGTGAATATATCAACTTACTGGCATAGGGCTGTTACATACTTTCCCGAGAGGAAATACTCCACAAGGGGTGACATGCTGCAGAGACACTGCAAAACGGCATTCATGTAGCACGTGTTGCCCAGATTTCGCAGGCCGGTGAGCCCTTGGTACAGGTGGTTCATCTTATCGATTGAGTCCTTGCTGGAAGCCCTCAAGTTCTCCAAGCTCCAAACAGAGCTGCATTTCCAACTATGGGGATAAGCACACAACAGCGGAAAGCTAAATGCTACAAAGCATTTTGTGTTCTGTTTGAGATATTGGCGTTGTCTTGAGGAGTCATTTCCGGCTTTGTCAAAATCATTGTAAGTCACGTTCATATTTGCTTTCATTGAGCTACTATAGTGATAAATACCTGCTAAGTGTAAAAAAACAATACAGGCCACGCTGTTAGTATCTAGGTAGCAACAGCCTTTATCATCCTTCCCTCTCCCGTCCGGACAGCCTGCATCAAAGCCTCCCCTCCCTGCCTGGAGCACATTTATTCTCACTTCTGCCAACTCCTCGGTCCCCGGTGAACCGCCTCCCGCAGCACCGCCACAAAAAGCCACGCGGCTCGTTTGGTGAACGCGGCAGGTGGAACCCAAAGAAACCGTCCCAGACAAAGCAAAAGGACGGGTACGTTAGGGCTCGCGCCTCGGACAAAGGAGACAGATAGCATATAAACAGTCAGGTCATTCTCAAAATCAGTAACTAGTTTTGGACCTTGTACGTAAGCCAAAGGCGGAACATTGGCAGAAAACTTGAACAAACAAGTGCATACACTGCCCACACCCACTCCTTTTTCCATATTGAAGGCAGAAGAAATCCACAGCTTACAGCAGCATGACTGTGAATTAAATGACCCTTCGTCACTGAAAACGTAGCAGTGACAGCACATGATTAACTGCGGGGGGGTGGACGCAGGTTTCCTCTTTACCTTTGCGTCAGTTGTTTCCTCCCATCCAAGTAACTTCTGAACTTAAAATTTTAAACCTCATTTTGATACTGGAAATATCAGAAAGGCTGTACTGCTGGAAAAGCAAAACACATCAAAACTTCCTGTTATGGGACAGAGAACCAAGAAATGACAGGGAGAACCTGCCCCGTAAGGAGACTGCACTCAGCAAAGTTAGCGATGGGGGCGGTAAAAAGGGAGCTGGGTTTCTCTTGTCCTGCTCAGTATTTCACAAACTTTGTATCTTTGTATCTTCAGTGCTCAGCTATTCCCAAAATGGTGAATACATCATTAAGAGGTATCGTTTAAAGACTCAAGCTTCTAAAGTAATTCCTAAAATTAGGAATTACTTTAGAGTTACCCCTAAAACTCCACTCACTCTGACTCGATTAGTCAGCAAGCCCAGCCAGCTGTAAACGTACTAAGCTTTTCTCCCTACAAAACGCATGTCATCGTAGTTTGTTCCCTTAGTAGTATGGGACTTGCATATTTCCCAAAACCATGGGGTGCATTCGGCATGCTGCTGCAAACAGGTTGCTCTTTAGACGTTTTCCTTAGAACACGACTTAATTCACACTAAAAAAAAAATATTAGATTTGTTCTCTTGCTGCAAAAGAATTTGCATGTGCAGAAGCAAGTTGTCCCTGTCCCTGCGCCCAGTTCGGCAGAACAGGGGTTGAATACGGATCCTGCTCAACCCAGACACGCTTGCTGATGCTGCTTCTCTTGAAGAATTTTTAAGGGCTACTATTTTTTGCAAAAAGAGGGGAAAAAAAATAAAATCTCAAAATTTTGTAGAACAAGAAAACCGTTTCTCTCCTTCAGCTCAACAGCCCCAGCCCAAGCTCCCCTTTCTGGAGCTCTCCCAGGCTGACGGCCGGTTTCTACCATCTAACGCCTACGTAGCCACAACACTGGCTGTTTCCTTTGAAATTTCAGTAGCAGTAGAGCCGGCGTTTCCGACCAGCCGTACTGATAGCCCAGCGCCCTGTGAAAACGCTCAGTTCCACCTTTTACGCTCGTCCCCCTGGCAGACGACAGCATCAAACGCAGACTCACAGCGAGCAAAGCGCATCGAAGTCATCGGGGGCGGCCGGCGCCCGGGAAGCCATCCGCTGCCTCCCGCAGACCTGCTCCTTCCGCGGGCCAGCGGGCGCCCGGCTCCGCTTTGTGACGCTCCAGGCTCCCGCGTTCCGCCTCGCCCCCGCCTCCCGTCTGACCCAAGCTTTGCTAGCGCTGACGGAGCTTCTAATCGGCTTTTATAGTTTCCGTGCTCTGATGGAAGGGCGGTGACGGTGGAGAAGGTTCACTGTAAAATCCAGGTGGCTGGAACTACCTTAAAGCATCGTTTGGAATGAGTTTGCGCTAGTGTTTGGGAAAAAAACATCAGCGGTTTAAGATTTTTCCAGGAGAAAAGGGGTAGTGGCAGAAGTCGTTTACATCAACGACATCGCCCCGTTAGATAATCTCTGAATTTCATACATCACTAGAGAGCAGCAGATTTTCCCTACTTAACATACAATTTGGGACCCAGAAATAACAAGTCCCCACAGCAGAAGCCCAGGAAACCATTAAAAAAATCCTGATCATCTTATTTGTGCAGTATGAGGCAAAGGATGTCTCTCAGTGCTCTTTGGACAGCGGGTGCGCTGTCACTGCTGTTCATCTCCTGAGCTGTGTATCTGCAAACTGAAACATAAAAGCACTCACACTCCTAATACTCAAAATCTGATGTACAATTTTGTAAGCTGCTCTGGAACAGTATACGCACTTTATCCAGCGTTTCAAATGCTTCAAAATCTACATTAAAACCCTCTCGTTTAAACTTTTAACAAATATATACATATACTTGAATATGTGCAAATATGTAAATCAATTTACCTTGGTTTTGTTCCCTGAAACATTTTTTGGAATTATGTTTTGTCAAAAAACCTCAACCAGCTGGGACTTCAATCTTACTTTCTGCCTATTCCCTCTGCTCAAATATGCAGATTAGGAACTCAAAGCACAATGTATTTTCCCCCAGTCGGGCTGAGATTTTTTGAGCCTATATAGAGGCACTTTGTCAAAGTGCTACAGAGGAATCCAGGGACAAGCGAGAGATACGGACTTATAAAACGGCCTGCTGAAAAGCAACTGCAGCAAATTCTTTCATTTTGGATAATTGTAACGCACCAGACGTTTCCAGTCCGCACGCATCCCTGTTGCTGCGCAGGTACAGACTGAAGCCTGCACGCCTCTGAGGCTACGCCAAGCATCGGCCTTTGGCGAACTCTCCGAGAGCCTGGTCGGCTGGAGCCTTCGTCCTCTTTCCTACCACAGCGTTTCCAATGTTCCTGCAGCTCCCGGGCCTGGCGGGGAGGAAGGATGAATGAATCTCCAATAATGCACGCGATTACAGAAATAAAATTAAGACAGTGGGAACATTGGAGAAAACATCAAGAAGGGATAAAAAAAACATGTAAGAAATTCACTTTACTTCATTGTAGCTTAGCCACTTATATACGCTCTGTATTCTATGAGACAGCTCTTGATGTTTTCCTGGTTTTATCTTCTTTTTGATAAGAACAGTCGCTAGAAGCATCTGGTCCCGGTTCGGAAGCCGGGGTACGCTTCTGGCAGCTCCCGCTCTTCTCTTGGTTCACACTGTTTTTCCTGCGATTTTCCTCAGCGTCTTCCCTATCCTTTCATTTTAACAGCTTCTAAAGCCTAAAAAACAAACCACGAAAATAAAGTCAAGGTCAAAATTGTAATATTTTGATGACCATATGTGTAGCTGCCCGTTTTATCAGGGTAGGAAGGGCTAAAGAGATTGTCCGGGTCTGGGACGTTCGCTTACCTCCGTCGTTCTCGCAGATATCCCCTCAGAAGAAAGATAACTATTAAAAACAAGTTGTCTTTATTCTTTCTCTTCCATTAACTTTTTTTCCCCCATTGGTGTCTAACGTAGGTGCTTCTGCTTGCCTAGTTGCTCGTGCCGTATCTGTTTGGTCCCGGCTCTGCCCCCCTACTGCCAGGTTCGATCCAGAGTCGCAGCCTGGTTTCTGCTTTCTGCGGCTGCGCCCCTTCCAGCAGCGGGATCGCCGGGGCCCCGCTCGGCAGGCGGCTCAGGAGCCGGCGACGCGCCGAGAGCGGCCCAAATAACAGCGTTATGTATTAAACAAATCTTACTCTAACACTTCTTCATTAGTCTGGTACTGGAAAAATGTACTCCTGTTTTCTAATATGGATTTAAGAAGAACATATTCACTGATACTCATATGAAAGGGAAGAAGTCAGAGATTTTATCTGAACTCGGGGAAAGGCTGAGCTAAGGCCATAGCACGGGCTGAAGAATGACCGCAAACATCTGCCTTGAGCAACAGGGTAGCAGATCTCCGCAGGAAAAGATCTACTGCTCACCCGCAGCAAGGGTACGAGGGAAGACGACGGCCCTTCCTGCCTCCTGCCCCTTTTGAGGAGCAGGTTTTTCTCCTCCGTAAATCCCATTTTGGGGGAAACGCCAGCAGAGAGGGCTGCCAACTGGTTGCAAGGGTTGTTGCCTACATCTTTTGAAAAGGGAAAGCCAGAAGTTTCAACCTTAGAAAATAATCAGCTCGCCGTTTATCTTAACTCCAAAGTGCCCTGCAAAAACAGTTGTTCAAGTACTGTTCAAAAAGCATTTGCCCTAACCCTCCTCTCCCCGCACCCAATACCCCTCAGCAAGCCTTGCGGCTTGCCTTCCACCTCTAATACTACTGATGCGACTGTATTTTATACTTAGTACATGTGTGATGCTATAGCAATATGGCACAAATAAGGGAAATCACCATCTGGATTTGTTGATAATAGTTTCTGGTATATTTTGGTATTATTTAACTTTGTAGAAGAGTAAAGACAGAAACTAATACGGAGATAGATTTTATTATTACTAATGAAATGGTAATTACCCCTGCATGCCCTGCATATCTTACCTTTCCTGCTCACTTTATCTGAAATCTCCACATCTGGAACTTATTCCTTGATTTTCTTGGAAATCTCCTGGTACCAGGCTGTATACTCTCATCCTCTGATGTGAGGAAGCAAATACACAAAAATAAGCTAAAACTCTAGTTGGTGCAAAGGAATTGCATCTTCATTTCACTAGCAATTTCATTTTATTAGTGATAAGCATGAGCAGAGCCAAACACTTAGAGCAACAGCACTGCTGTGCTGCTAACTGCGGTACTGGTCTGGGTATTTCTAGTTAAGTATTACTCCAGGACCTCTTTCTGTCATGACAGTCAACATCGCTGCATGTAGACACCTCATCAACTATCCATTAAAATAGCCTTTCCTACAAAATGCTTACTATTTACTTGCAAAAGTTTCCCAACAGGCATGTCTTAGGACTAGGAAAGAGATGTTCTAAGCAGCACCAAAAATAAGTGCATGAAAAGTGTTAAAATAGCATGTTAAAAACACCCCCCACCCCCGCCTTAGCTTTGTTTCTTAGAAGCAGACTGTTCTACAGAACACGGACGCCTTCGATGTATTTAGAAACCCAGCATCTAGAACCTGAATTGCAGTCTCATTTTGAGGTAACTGAGTGAATGCGTTTGATTACAAGGCTTCAAAATTTCAAGACGTTGCAATTCTTATCGGTTACATACAGAAGTCCCAGTGTACCAGTGTTACCCCATATGACCTTCTTGAACAGGTTAAAAGGACAGCACAGAACAAAGGGACTGTGGCTAACTCCTAAATAAATTTATTTTAGAATTCTGTTGGGAACACCAATTATGGTGTGCTGTTAAAAAAGAAAAACAGATGGAAGAAAAAAATTCATTTGTCTTGTACAGGATGCAAAAAAATGACACTGTAAAACACTTAGCAGTTCACAGCATTAACAAATGTTGTTCCAGCTTTTACTGCTGGAAACCAGCTTTTCAGTTCTTACTGAAAGTAACAGTACTTGCCTTGAAGAACTGAAGAAAAAGAGATGACGACTTGAAAAACCACATTGAAAAGAAAGTACTAAGTTCATACACATGTTGATGGCAACATTAAAAAAAGAGAAAAACTTTTCAAAACTATTATTGGGAAACACTTAAAAGCTATATTAAAATCAACCTATAATAGCTCTCATGCAGGAACACCACAATTTGTATTGAAAATTCTAAATCACCAAAATCCTGAAACATAGTGTCAGTATTTCTAAAATACTATAATCAGTAGAGCTGAATTTTAATCTTAGTACTAAAATCAGCAATGCTAAAATGCGTCAGAGTAGAACACAACAACATATGCTCATTCCTACTTTCTGTGGAACCCACATCAAGGCTTTGACTATGTTATTTTTAGTGTAACACGTGACACAGAAATCCACATCTGCGCTACCTACCACAAGTGCAGGGGCTTAGAATTTGTTGGCTGAAAAAGAAGAAATACTAAATCATCTAGTCTTTTCTTCAGAAGCATTAGGTTTTTTGTGTTTTTTTTCCCCCTAATCAATCTCTTACCAGTATACAACTTGAACTGTTACTACCATGTTTTCAGCTGTGATCTTTTTCCCTTTCAATTTCTTGCAGTAGTAAGTGGTGTTGCATTAAGTGAGATGCTGCTGTGGGAAAAAGCAAATGCCTCCTTTTCCTGACCACATGGCTGCTGACCAGTGCCCAGCGCGAGGAAACCAGGTCCCCAGGAGACTCACCTTCTGGGATTTTGCCACAATGTACTTGGGACTGTTTTGTTCTGAAATATTTCAGCCCCGAAATACTGCAATAAAGCAGTCAACAATGCTGAATTTGATGTATTATTTAAAAGATTCAATTAGCATATCAGTACATCCGAGATTATTTGCATGAAGAAATACTGATGCTAAAGAAAACTAAAGCGCGTTTTAAAATAGAAGTTACATAAGCAACCAACACTATTCTACGAGCACATACTACTCGGTTTAACCTGAGCTCAAAGGACTTTTCTTCATTCCGAGTGTGGCAGGAGAAATCAAAACCATCTGACAATAACATAACTTACCTATTCCTATCTCCCTACATAGGAAATATTCTTTAAATGGGTTAAATATCCTTTTAGCTTGAAAATCATTGAAACACTTCAGATTTTTATTAAACAAAATTGGAAAAGGTTTGAATTAGTATTCCTGTATTTAAAAACTAGAAT